AGCTGTCTTCCAAATCTCTTGGCATAGCCAAGTGAGTGCCTCTAGCACAGCATCCGTTTGTTAAAACATCTCAACAGGTATTCCGTCAGTTCCCGGAGCCTTGTTTTTCACCACTTCCTTCAGTGCAGTTTCAGCTTCTTCCTTCAGTACCATTGGTATGCCATCTTCTGAAATGGATGAACATCAACCAATTTTTTTTTGGTACAGTGACTGTATTCCTTCCATTTTCTTTTGATGCTTCCTGCATTGTTCAATATTTTGCCCATAGAACCTTTCAATATTGCACCTCCAGGCTTCAGTTTTTTCTCCAGTTCTTTCAGCTTGAGAAATGCTGAGTGTGTTCTTCCCTTTTGGTTTTCTAATTCCAACTCTTTGCACATTTCATTATAATAATTGACTTTGTCTTCTTGAGCTGCTCTTTGAAATCTGTTCAGCTTTTTTATCTTGTCATTTCTTCCATTTGCTTTAGCTACTCCCCATTCAAGGGCAAGTTGCAGAGTCTCTTCTGACATCCATTTTGGTCTTTTCTTCCTTTGCTGTCTTTTTAATGACCTCTTGCTTTCTTCATCGATGATGTTCTTGATGTTATCCCACAGTTCATCTGATTTTCGATCATTGGTGTTCAGTGTATCAAATCTATTCTTTAGATGGTCTCTAAATTCAGGAGGGATATAATCAAGGTCATATTTTGGCTCTCATGGACTTGTTTTAATTGTCTTCAGCTTCAGTTTGAACTTGCATAGGAGCAGTTGATGGTCTGTTCCACAGTCAGCTCCTGGCCTTGTTTTGGCTGAAGATATTGAGCTTCTCCATTGCCTCTTCCCACAGATGTAGTCGATATGATTCCTATGAACTCCATCTGGCAAAGTCCACATGTGTGGGTGCTGTTTGTGTTGTTGTAAAAAAGGTATTTGCAGTGAATAAGTCATTGGTCTTGCAAAATTCAACCATACAATCTCCAGCGTGATTTCTATCACTAAGGCCATATTTCCAACTGCCAGTGATTCTTCTTTGTTTCTAACTTTTGCATTCCAGTTATCAGTGCTAATTAACACATCTTGATTGCACGTTTACTCAATTTCAGACTGCAGAAGTTGGTAAAAATCTTCAATTTCCTCATCTTTGGCTTTGGTGGTTGGTGCGTAAATTTGCATAATAGTAGTAATTAACTTGTCTTCCTTGTAGGCATATGAATATTATCCCATCACTGACAGCATTGTACTTCATGGTAGATCGTGAAACGTTCTGTTTGATGAATGCCATGGCATTCCTCTTCAATTTGTCATTCCTGGCATAGTAGATCATATGGTTGTCTGATTCACAGTGGCCAAAACCAGTTCATTTCAGCTCACTAATGCCTAGGATATCAATCGTTATGCGTTCCATTTCATTTTTGACAACTTCTAATTTTCCTAGATTCATACTTCGTGCATTCCATGTTCTGATTATTAATGGATGTTTGCAGCTATTTCTTGTCATTTTGAGTTTTTCCACATGAGCAAATGGAAGTCCAGAAAGCTTTACTCTATCCACATCATTAAGGTTGGCTCTATTCTGAGGAGACAGCTCTTTCCCAGTCATATCTTGAGTGCCCTCCTACCTGACAGGCTCATCTTCTGGCACTGTATCAGACTGTGTTTTAGGGCTATTCATAAAGTTTTCTAGTAATATATTAGACAGTGTTTCATTACTATTCATAAGGTTTTGCCTGGCCAATTCTTTGAGAAGTGGATGGCTTCTTACTTCTTCTGAGTCTATCTTATTCTGGAAGCTCTGCTGAAACCTCTCCACCGTGGGTAACGCTGCTGGTGTTTAAAACACCAGTGACATAGCCTCCAACCTCACAGCAACATGAAAGCCACCATAGTACACCAAACTGACAGGAAAGTTTGTCTCCCTTAGTTGTTCTAAACCACTCTGCTCACTTCTGGTCTCCCTTAGTTTTTCCAAACCACTGCCAGCTCCCTAAATACATTATCTATTACTAACTTACCCACTGCTGTGGAGTCAGATCCAACTCATAGTTGAGTTGACACCTCCTTGGGTTTCCGAGGCAGTATCACTACGGAAGTAGATTGTCCAACCTTCCTTCCGAGGAATGACTGGTGGGTTTGAACCACCAGCCTTCTGGTTAGCAATCAAGTGCCTTAGACAGTACGCTACCAGAGCTCATTAGTAATTTAGGTGCTTCCTATTTCATTCCTGTCTTATGTTAAGCCCATTAGCAAGCTGCATCTCAGTAAAATTAAAGTGCAACTTCTATTTATGTTTTCTGGTAGACCTATTCCTCACTTAAGGACACTCATTATCTGACATTTCCCATTAAGGCAACCATAAAAAAAATACCTCTAATTTGCACATTAATGACATGACGTATGTCTGGCAGTACTCTGAGGTGCTAGGTGAGAGCAGAGCTGGCTGTAATGGCTAAGGTTATATGTTTCAACTTGGCTGGGCCATGAATCTTAGTAGTTTGACAGTTACATAATGATACAGTTTGGCAGTTATGTAATGTTGTAGTTATCCTCCATTTTATGATCTGAGGTGGTTATGCTCCATTTTTGCATGATGCTGATTTTCGCTCAATGACTTAGTCTTTAGAACATGACCATGTCAATAAGTGAGGTTAGGTGTGTGTTTGTTTTTCTTAGTAGAGAAGGAGGTGAGGAGGTTAAACTGATAAAAGTGTTGCTACCCTTGTGAGTGGTTTTTATGTATGATATTTATAAGTGTGACTAATTTTTGAGTGTTAAATTTGGGTCACAGCAAAAGGATCTTATTCAAATTGGGCAAACTTGCTTCAGTGCTGGAAATCACTGTTTTAAAATTGACGTAATGGCTGTTAATGTGTTAAATATATCTTCTTTTAGGAAGTTTTAATGCTTTCATTTTTCGTTGTGTAGTTTTGTTAAAAAAGCAGAGTTGGACAGAATTATATTTGTGTGTGCTATACATTTATTTGCTTGGTAACTGTTAATAAATTTCATTTACATTTTTCCTGGGAATTTAAAATCAAAACTTTGGTAAGAATATTTTGAGACAGACTTTAAAACCTTTAAAAATAATTAACCTTTTACTGTCTTTGTTTCAAACTTTTTGATTATCATTATTTATTATATTTATTTGTTGTTATTATTATTCAAACAGTTTATTATTTACTGCAGGAGTTAACAAGCACTACAGCCTAGTTGTCTGCTTATTCATGAAATTTTAGTGGAACACAGCCATGCTCATTATTTATGTACTTGCTGACCTCTGATAACTGTGTAGAGGATTTTATCTATTAGTTCATACAGATATCTGGATGTTAAAAATGTTTTGTCTCCTTCTGTAGTAAACTGATCACTTCTTTGAGATTGGTCTTCCTTTTTTTCCCCCACCTGCAGCAGGATCATGGTATGTGGTAGGAAAGTGATGCTGTTTGAAGGTGACATCCTATCCTCCTTTCTTCCTTCTGTCCTCTCCCTGTTTTGGCCTCTTGGTAATTGGGGGTAAGGGTGCTAGTCTAAATTGAGATTGCTTTAACTATTTCAGTTTACTTGTGGGGGAGAAAGGGTGGGGGAGATGTGGTTTCAAGGCATGAAAATGGGAAATAAAAGGTTACCCAGCTCTTGATACAGTGTGTTTTGGGGTCATAGGAATCTGAAGAAAGTTAGGGAGCTACTCCCCAGAAAAAATCTGAGTATATACCAACCAGACCAAACCAAACTCACTGGCGTCGAGTTGGATTTGACTCATAGCAATCCTTTTTTGGGTTTCCGAGACAGTATCTCTACAGAAGTAGATTGCCCAACCTTCCTTCTGAGGAGTGGCTGGTGGGTTTGAACTGCCAGCTTTCTGGTTAGCAGCTTTAGGCACTACACCACCAGAGCTCCGATTTAGAAACCCTTTGAAGGTAATCCCTGGATGGAGAGGGAAGGGTCTGTAGATTCCAGGTCAAGAACACTTGCACTTAGCCCCTCAGCTAGGTGTAGAGTCAGGCAAACAAAAAGAGAGGTTAAATAAGACTGGAAAATAAGGTGGATGTTAATTCAACTGTGGGGAGGAATTAATTCACTGTTCTTTATACTCTTGTTGTATCTGGGGATTCTTTAACATCCTTTGATTAATTTTAAACATTTCAATACAAATGAGTGACTTTAACAATATATTCTAATATATAATCCTAATGGTGATCCCTTCTGATATTAGTACTTGGACTGTAGACATTTGGAAAAATAATTGATTTTAGGTAGCCCAGGAGTAGAGCTATTTCAGCATTTCCAAATTGTGAAGGAAGAGATTAAGCCCTTGGTGTTGAAACCTTCATCTGCCAAATCTTGCATTGTGCCTAGCAGTAGCTCTGTAAAGCTCCTCTGGGGTGCTTATGTCTGATTTTATCTACTCTTCACTTTTGCATGAGCCTTCCACTTCACCAGTGTTTCCTAAACTTAATTTATTGAGTACCATCTCCAGGATTTTTGCCTTAGATGCATATCCTTGCATATTCTTTACATCAGCTCAGTTTTTGAAGCTTAAATTTGGTAAATAACTATACTGTCTGGAGTATGAATTTGGTTTACTAGTTATTTTCTCTTTGCCAGTTAAAGGAACATGTGAAACATGGGTTTTTGGTTTCATCTAAAATATTTCATCTTTCTAGAGGATAGCAACTTCATTTTGGGAAACACTGCCCTATGTGCTAGAATTTTAAAGCTCTCACTTTGAGCCAGAGTAGAACCTGTGGAGCTACTTACCCTTTGAAGTGCCATAGGAGAGGAGAGGAGATTATGGTAGATGTGTGGATGCTGCGTGCTCAAATATCCCCTTACTTGGGCAAATTCATGTGTCCTGGATATGGGGATATTTGGCTATATGCATGGCAAAGCTCGGAATCATAGCCTTGCAGTGATTGGTTTGTTCCCACCACCACCACCACATGTGTGCATGCATGTACAGGTGCTCCATGTATAGGATATGTATGTATCTCCATATTTCATGAGTTTAATTTATTTTCACAGGTTTGATCTTGCTCTTCTACCTAGTCTTCTATGGGTTCTTGGCTGCTCTCTTCACATTCACAATGTGGGTCATGCTTCAGACTCTGAATGATGAGGTTCCAAAATATCGTGACCAGATTCCCAGTCCAGGTAATTATGTTGTAGTTATAATGGATTATATAATTTAAGAAAGTTATAATTTATCTCCATCATAAATCTATGTTTTTAAAAGATATTTTATTATAATGGTCGTCTGACATTCCCACAGACATATAACAAAGTTAAATACAGTTAATGCTCAGATCTCGTATTTTCAGCTTCAAAAATGTGAAATGTTGGTATATTAAGATTTAGGGAATAGAATGCTACAAAAAATTAGATTTCTTTTTTTCCTGGGAAACTGAAATTTTGAAATCAGATAAAATATAAATTATGTGGTTAGAATTGTTTAGTGCTAACAGAGCTTGACAGGCCAGTGTTCATATAATTGAGTCTGTAGCTCCAACACCATAAATCTGTTTTTTTATAGCATATAGAAGGTAACCTTGGGGTTGGTTAATTGAAAGTTTTGATTTTTGTTTGTTATATAATGTTTATACTAATTTAAAGACCTCCACTTTCATGAACTGATAAATCTTGAGTCCTCTGCCAAGAATAAGCAGAAATGAATATTGAGAATTATAGTAAAGCTAAATTCAGTTCTAGTTATGAATGGCTTTTAAGAATATTGAGGAGCTCTAATGGTGATATGCTTAAGGCATTTGGCTGCTAGCTAAAAGGTCAGTAGTTTAAACCTGCCAGCTGCTCCATGGCAGCTCCACAAGACAGTCTGTTTTAGTAAAGATTTACGGCCTTGGAAATGCAGCAGAGGTTGCTATGAGTCAGAATTGACTCAATGGCAGCGAATTTGGATTTTTTAGAGTTTGTGAATATTGTGTAGCGATTGTACTTCACCTTGAAGAATTTATTTGTAAATACGTATTTCAGCTGTAGCTCAGAGGTTAGACTATTGGTCTTATAAAACATTCTTTATGGTTCTAATTGCTTAGTAAGGTAAGCAAATGATAAGAAATGTTAAATGCATACACATCGTTAGAGAATAAAATGAGTATATTCTTTATATGCTTAATTCCTGTCTGTTGATTCCCCAGAAAAAAAATACGCTAGAGGAAAACAATTTTTAACTGAAATGCTTGTTTAAATCACCTTTTGTACCTTCTGATTTTATTCTTTAAAACAGTCTAATAGTTTTAGAATGCCAGCTCCGCCTTCATCAGGAGAGAAAACAATAACATTCAGAATTCCCATATATATCATTCCCAAAAATGTGGAAGACTTCTAGAAGTTATAGAACAGGAAAGACTAAGAGTAGTGGCATTTGGATAGCAGGAAGAATGGGCAGCTGGGGAATGAGGTCGCTACCTAGAGCAGTGGTTCTCAACTAGGGGCAGTTTGCTCCCCAGGGGACATTTGGTAATGTCTGGAGACATTTTTGGTTGTCACACTGGGAAGATAGGGAGAATGGGGCTATTGCTACTGGCATCTAGTGAGTAAAGGCTAGAAATGCAACCAAACATCCTACAATCAATAGGACAACCCTCCATAACAAAGATTTATTAGGCCCATAATATTAGTGCTGAAGTTGAAAAATTCTGAGCCTAGATCCTTGGTCATAGCATGGGCTTCTGAGCCGTACCACCAAATAGAACCAGTTCTCTCCTAATGATTTTTTTCTTAGAACAGTTGTTCTAATGGCCTTCTTAGCTAGTGTTAATTTGTGTAAACATCATGAATAACCCTTAACTTGTTTAAGTCTGGCCAAGTATCAGACTAGCACCATGGATAATTTTTCTTATATTTCTTGCTGTTGCCCCAGTTTTCTTTCTACCTAGATTAATTCTAAGATATTTTTTCTTATTCCCTAAATTATGACTTTATTTCCTTTGAATGCCATTTGAACTATTTCAGAAAATATTAAACTTTTTATGATTATATGAAAAATATAAGCAGTAAAATAAGTGTTCAGTATATTTAAACTGATTTCCTTAAAATTATCAAGTGCACTGTATTTAAAATGTATCATTAGTTGGGCCTGGAATTGAATTCATTTCCATGGGTTAGCTCTCCCCCAAACACTAGAGAGACCTGCAAGCTGAGAAATTACACACACCAGTGAGATGCACTCTTCAGAACAGTCAACTGTGAGGGGTCAGATGGGGCAGCATTTGTACAGGGGGAAAGCTAAACAGGATGCGTAGGTAAGAAGGACACAGGGAAGGAGTAACCACAAGAAGGAAGTAGGAGGAGAGCGGTTCTGTTATGGGCATTGTAATCAGCTCTATGAAACAAAATATATGTGAACTGCTGAATGTAAAACGAATCTGCTTTGTAAAACTGCACCCTAGTCACAATAAAAAAATTTGTGGGGGGAAAAAAGGGTATTAGTTTTCATGCATGTATGCACATACACATACACATGTGTGTGTATATTACATGAATGTACATCATATTACTAAAGGTGATTTTTTCTTCATGGAGGGATTAGGAATCTTTCTTTGTATTTCTAAGTCTTTTTTTTACAATGACTCCGTTTTTATTTTTACTTATATATTGTGATTTGAGTGAAAGTTTACAGAGTAAGTTGATTTTTCCATTCAACAGTTCCTACACATTTTGTTTTGTGACATTGATTGCAGCCCTGACAATGCAATAGCACTCTTCCTACTTCCTGTGTTTACTATTCCCCTTTGTTCTTCTTTCCTATCCCTCCCTGTTGTCTTAGCGTTCTTCTTGTTGTTATGTGCGCTCAAGCTGGACCGGACTCATAGCAACCCCTCCTTGGGTTTCTGAGGCAGTATCACTAGGGAAGTAGATTGCCCAACCTTCCTTCAGAGGAGTTGTTGATAATATGGTTGATTGTTGTAATGAGTGCATACCTCCATGGTGTTTCTGTTTACCATATGGGCCTATCTATTGTTTGAGTGAAGTTGAAGCACAGGGATGAGTTCAATTCCAGGCTTGAAGGGATTAATTTTATTTTTAAATGGTACTATTTCATTAATATGTTTGCAGTCAGTAAAATAAATACTAGTTTTAAATAGGTGCATATCTCTACATGTACATACTTATGGCATAAATGCATATTATACATCTGTACCCCTACGAACACATGCGTGTACACACATATATAAAAATGCTCACCCAATAGTTTAAGTTTGGAGGAGATAAGAATCGCATAGTCTTTGCATTCTGTTGTTTTTAGTTTTGTTTAAGCCAGGATTTTATTTGGAATAAGTAAATGTATTGTGTTTAAGAAATCATAAATACTTTTATATTTTCCTTGCAATTTTTCTAATTTGAATAATTTATGTTGGGTTACTTAAAGTTAAGTGTTAGTTTCTTAGTGTTACTGTAACAGTATTACCACAAGTGGTTTTAAAGAACAAATATTTATTTCCTTACATTTCAGGAGAGTCAAAGTCCAAATTCAGGGCTTCATTCTGGGGAAAGATCCTTGTCTCTTTCAGCTCTGTAGCCTCTGGTGTTCCTTAGTTCCTTGACATTCATGTGTCATCCCTTTTCCCTTGTCTTTCCTTGTTCTATTTCTTATAATTTAGAAGTGATTAGGTTTAGGACACACCCACACCTCAAAAGGCATCATTAACAAAGCAAGAAAAACTATTCCCAAAACGGGATTTACATCTACACATATAGAATGACAGGTTCCAGCACATTTTCCGGGAGACACAATTCACTCCATAACAGTGTTCTTATTATAATTATGTGCAAGACGAGTTGATTCTTTTATTCTACTTGCAGTATATATTATGACTTGTTTCTGCCTAGTAAAACCTTAAAAATAAAAGCAAACAATTTTAGACATACTGAAAAGTCCGAGGTTTTATTTTTATATTAAATACTTTTACAAAAAAAAGTTGCTATTGATTTTATAGTGCCTTGGCAGTGGGTAGAGTGGTAAGGAAATACAGGCATATGGGATAATCCAAATCCAAGTGATTAATTGTCTTGATCTAGAGTTGAATGGGGAGTTTAGTTGAGTGCTCTGGCGTAGTGCCTAAGGCATTTGACTGCTAACCTGAAGGCTAGGGGTTCAAACCCACCAGGCACTCCTTGGAAGGAAGGCTAGGCAGTCTATTTCTGTAGAGATACTGCCTCAGAAAACCAAGGAATAGTTGCTATTAGTCAGAACCAACTCAACAGTAGTAAGTTTGTTTTTTTCCTCTACTTGTGATGGTGCGGGGAAGTCCGCTGACCTCATCCAACTTCGTAAGTAGGAGGAAAGAAAAACTTTATGAAGCAGAGGTACAAAAAAGGGCAAGGAGGCCACATATTCTGACCTCCTCTAATCCCACAAGAGGAAGACAGAATCACTGTCAGTAAGCCAAGGCCTATTACTGCAAGGCCAGACATGCTGCCTCCCTCCAGCTCTTTCACCAACCATTCCTTCCAAAGCACCCACCACCTCTCTCCTGGGTTTGATATTTCGCTGCAGTGGCCACATAGAACTCACGGATTACAGGGTTTATTAGGGAAGCACCACAGGCTACAATTCAAGTTCAGGAAAAATGCTCCATCTCTCTCCCAACCCACCGTCCCTCAGCCAACAGTCTCAGTCTCTTTCCCAGCAGTGCTTGTCCCTCGGTGTCTCATTGTGTCTCTTGAGTCTCTTTCCCAGCAACGCGTGTCTCAGGAGTGCGTGTCTCTTTCAGCAGCACATCTTCCTCAGCCAGCAGTCAGAGAGAGAGTTCTGCCTCTAGGAGGTCTCTTTTTGAGCCCAGCAGAATGGCCAAACCAACCAATCATAACATCAGAATCCTAAACACCTAAGAGAGAGTGGGAACCTCCCAGAACATTGTTTAGTGCCACTCCCCAACAGAAATACCCCAGGTGGACAACTTTAGCAATTAGGAGTTCCTCAGTTATTCATGGCAAACTCCACCTTGGAATTTGCAAAGATTTATGGGTAGAAAAGCCACACTAAGTAATTTACTACACCCCAAGAGGTCAAACATACCCTCTAGTCTAAGAGGTTACAATGCAGGATCAGGAATGACTCAGGATACAGCTCTTCAGGCAATACTGTTCCTCAACCCTACCCGAAAGCTGGCCTTTCCATTTTTCCCTGGGCCCCTTAGGTTGGCCTCTTCCCTGTTCATGCAAGTGTCATAAACTTTAGCTCTGGCGATAGGTGCCCAGAGGCACCCCACTCTGCCATAAAGTCTTTTTCCTGAAGGCACTCAGCTCTGGTTCTGTAGGTTAACAAGCCTACTATAACTGCCTTGCTCCACAGGCTGGGAAACCCACTGTGCCAGTCTCCTGGTTCTGTTGCCACTGTTTCTGTGCCTCTGCTTCTTACTGTCTTGTGCCATCTCTGATGTTAATAGCTCTCTCTGTTATCTGGATCTAGGGAGGTTCTCAGTGCAGGGACCTCAGGTCCAAAGGATATGCTCCATTCCCAGCTCTTATTGGTGGTATGAGGCCCCTCTTTCCACCTTTGGGATGGTTCATTTTAAGCCTAGGGGAGTGCCAAAACTGACCAGTCCCCTTGTTAGGGTTCTGTACACCTTGTTTGCATTATCTCACCTCCACTAGAGTGCCATGTACCTTATTTGCATTAGTAGCAATTTGTCTAATCCCCTCAGTGGGCCACATGCCCTTTATTTGCATCGCCCCACCAGTCATTTGGTAGGAGTTAACCATGGCAAGAAAGGCCACATAAAAGTGATCCATCGAAGTACAGTGTTGAATGTAGAATTAGATTTGGTTCGCCATTTAAAAGTATTAGTTAACTATGTCTGCATAACATTGGATCTACCCGTTGTTTAACACATGAACTATGCAGATGATCAATATAGACAGGTGTTTATGGGTTTGAAAGAAACTGGATCTGGTCTGAAAAGAATTTGATGTCTGAGCAGCAACTTTAATGAAAGTTAAAACTAAATTTTTTATTTGTGAATTTTCAGATCAATGCAAGGATTATTATCTTTACTAGCTTTAATATGGGAAATATTTGAAGAATAATGAAATTATTAGTATTGTTTTTAAGTCTTTGTGCAAGGCTGAATATTATAGACCTTACGCTTTTGAAACAAGGAAATCTTGTATTTAAGTTGGAAACCTGACTCTGTCTCATATAGTTGAATACATATGTATTTTCTCTGTTACAAGCTGATGCAGCATGTTTCTATATACATGGGCAAAGACCCATGATATGAAATTGATGGTGGTTATGCTTTGCATCAGCATGTGGAAACTACATTTTAATTATGGAGAAATGCTTCTTATTGAAGCAAACATATTTACCCATAGAGTAAGCATATATGTTGTTGTTCATTGCCATTAAGTCACTTTTCAACTCATCGCGACCACATGTGACAGAGGAGAACTGCCTCATATGGTTTTCTAGACTGTAATCTTTTCAGGTGCAGATCGCCAGGTCTTCCTCCCATCGAGCTGCTGGGTGGGCTCACACCACCAGTCTTTCAGTTAATGGCCAAGCACTTTAAAAAGTCTGTCTTTATGAATGTTTCCATACAGTTGTAATTTGAATAATAAAAATGCTTGGGCTATGATTTGCTGGAAATTTTTCCCATATATTAATGACAAATTGCCAAAACTTAAAAAAATATTATTCAATACAAAATACAAAAACATCCCATGCTCATGGATAGGAAGACTGAACATTGTGAAAATGTCATTTCTACCCAAAGCAATCTATACATTCAATGCAGTCCCAATCCAGATCCCATCAACATTCTTTAGGGATATGG